ACATATTAGCACTCTGACAAATGTGAATTGATTACTGACAGCAAACTGAGACTTTTATGACTTGTTTATTCAATGCTGAAGCTTTCAAAGCTATACAGAGCTTTTTTTTCAAGTTGGTAATCCTTCAGAATTCTTCCAGAAGTGTTAGGGGAAAAATAGAAATGTTTTCCTTATGCTTCCTATATTATTTACACTGTTCTGCCTGGAAAACTAATGCAACTTTAATTTCAGGTGGGGGTGGGGGTGGGGGTGGGGTGGGCTGGGGTCTGGCTAAAGAGATAATGAAAGGGAGGGACTTATGTCAAAAATGAAATTTAATTTAAATAGTTAACATAGTAATTAATATTTACATACCATATAATTTCCCTTTTAGCACAGTTTTTAAAAAGTTATAATAAATTTGCCTTAAGTTAAGCACACCTGATCTAGAGGAAAGTATACAGAAGATAGTGAAGCTAGCTAAGTGAATAGATAGTGAACATAGCTAAGAAGATGGAAAATTATGTGTGGAGAAGGAGGATACTTGAACAGAAATGAAAAAATGGGCTGGGTTGTTAGAGCTATTTGTTCTCTCCAGGAAGACCATAGATAAGTAAGGGAATGATAGCACTGAATGAATGAAGTCAAAAGATCAGATTCAGTAGCAAAATTTGGTAGGATCCAAATCTAGACTATAACAGCTTCTCCTGTCACTGGAAATTTAGATAGAGTCTGGAGTCCCTGCTAAATAAGGTGGATGGTGCAGTAGAAAAAAGACATTTCTCCCTAATCATTGTTCAGTAAGGTCTACCAACTACTGAATTTCTGGGGACTAGAGAGACTGCTAAAAAAAGTGTGGGGGGAGGGTAGTAAAATCTACTCCTGCCAATCAGGAGCACTGAAATTAGAAGCGTTTTGAAGTGTTTTGCTTAAAGTGTTTGTTTCCAATCAGATCTACTTCACATATTGTCTATCCAATTTCTTCTCTATGAAAAGCACCATATATTTACATATGATGAATATAGACAACCAACTTTTAAGGGTTAACAGTTATAATGTATCTATATCATTATAAGCAAATCTTCTAGTTTCACACACAATCCATATGAGTAGGAGAAAAGCAGCTAGATTTTTTTATCACCACCTGAATATAAGCAGATGGTTTACAAAATACACAGTGACTGAGATCATACATTAAGAAAGCCATTATATAGTTTATTTTGGGTGGGTTTAATATGAACCCAGCTATCTGAGTGAGTGATTTATGTAGAACCACAGCCATCATTAAAGAAAAGACACACTGAAGTGTGAATTCTGTGTATATTTACTAGCTTTCTACTCACAGGTTTTAGGAAACATTTTTCATATCTTGAAATTGTTCTTCTAATTTTTAAAATATGGTTTTGAATAGAAAAAAATCAATTTTCCTAATTGCTTGATAATTTGAACTTTAAAAAAGTTGTTACCATTTCATATACTTGTGTATATAAATGTGAAAATTACTTTGTAAATTTCATTACATTGGTGCAAATATTTAAGTGCTTCTAAAGTAACTTAGCATGAGATATATATGCAGTCTAAATTCCTAATAATATGTTGCTTTGGTTGAAGGACAAAGTAAGCAATTATGAATTTTGATAAGCAATTAAATGTTCTTGGCTTGCATGCTTCCTGGTTCCATATAACTGTACTGTACTTTGTAAAATATTTATATATTGTTTCTTCCAAGCAGGCAATCAGCTAGATACCATCTTACTATTTAAGTTGACTAGAGCAATACGATGCTGCATAAATTATTATTAGGGCTGTATAGTGCTTTGGATCTGATCTCCAAATGTGCTTCAGAGCATGTGGTAACACACACCTTACTCCTGTTTGTAACACCCCAAAGAAGCCACACCTTTAAGGAAGATACATGATCTTGGAGGAAAATATGCAACTGTTTTAAGATTGGATAACTGTTTTAAGACAGGACATACATGTGCATTTCCATGCATGCTGAAGCAACTTTGGAGATCAAATCCAAAGCATTGCATAGTCTTCATTATTATGTTATATGTAAATATTTATTCAAAATACGTTTCTGTTTTCCAAATAGGAGAATTCTTGCCATAACCCTTCAGGTTTTTGTTTAGTTTTAATGATAAAATTATTGAGCGATTTCAATAACTTTTTTCTGTCTGATAAGATCTCAGTCAGTTTGTTCCTCAGTTGCACTCTACAATACTGGGCATTAAAAGAAATATTAAACAAAACCTCAAAAAGTCATTTTTCCTTGCTGTTTAGATTTCAGTTTCAAAGTGATATTTTTAATGCTAACTAATTAATTAAATATATGATCTCTTTGTTCTCCTTATAGTAGACATGGTGGTGCAAATCTATATTTAATTACATTGCTTTTTTAGGATTAGGACAGACTTTTTGACTTATGCTGAAACCTCAACAGATGCTGCTGGTATTTGGTTTTATCAGAGTCATGTGGCTGAGTCAAATTTCAATACTTTATTACAATATTTTAATTTGGGTTTCCTCAACTTGATCCCATAGATATAATTATGTTAGAACTATGACAGAATTCCCACCTCCTTGTGTTCTGGGACTGTAGCTCTGATGTACCAGCTACAAAGGATATCAGGTTAGGAAAAAATGCAGTACCCCTTGAAATGCATGCTGTGAAAGTGAAGGTAAAATCTTTATTCCCAAATTTGATAGTATTAATAGATTAACTGGTATTTTAAGTGGCCAGTTAATGTTTTAAATGAATTGAAATTATGAAGTGACTAA